AGGAACGCCATCTCGTTCCTGACTTGGCGTTCCTCATGGTCCACACGGTGACTCCATGAGCATCACCATGCTGGCCACCTCAGGTCCCCTGGACGTGTGGCGGGTCATGGGTCCTTCGCCTTTCCCTGCGAGCGGTCGGCACATTGAGAAACGTTCCTCGTGTTCGCTTACGGGAGAGGGATGCACTTGGGACACATGGTGTCTCGCGGCGCTAGAGATGTGTGCTGGATCTATTCTGGTCCTGCTCCTCCTCCTCCTCCTCCGCCTCCTCCTCCTCTGCCTTCTCTTCCTCCTCCTCCGCCCCTCCTCCTCTGCCTCCTTCTCTCCCTCCTCCTCCTCCTCCTCCTCCTCCTCCTCCTCAACCTCCTCCTCCTCCTCTACTTCATTTGCCTCCGCTGACAGAGGGCACGCCTAGTATGCTCGTCACAGGTCCACGACAGGGGGGGTGAGGATCCCAAGGGTCGGTGGATATACAGTCAACCCGCATAGTAAGGATGGGCATCCTTCCCAAGGCTACCCTTGCATCCTAGCCTCTTCGTGATACGGGTCGACTGTAGAGAACTGCTTGACTATCAGTTCTCGAAGGTCCGCGCGGACCTCTAAGATTGGCGCTGGACCTCCTCCCTGGCGCGCCCTGCGCGCCAGGGGCAGCACCGGCGGCGCCGCCAGGGGTGTTCGGCGCCGATCCAAGAAGTCCGCGCGGACCTCCAGAAGCTGACGTATACGTGTACTTGTTTCTTGTACTCACGCACCCTGGCCCGCTCATCGCGGAATTCTTCCGCCTCTGAGCGCCTCCTCCTCCCCTTCCGCCCGCGGCCCTTCCGTCCTCCTTCCGCTCCTTGCACGCCGGACACTTAGCTCAGTGTCGGGCGAAGAGAACTATGCACGTGCACCGATCCTGGCAAGGCCCATCCTGAGCCCAGGATCGGTGCATATGCCTTCCTGGCCAAGGTAGGAGGGCATATGCACCGATCCTGGGCTCAGGATGAAACTGGCCAGAATCGGTGTATGTTCATAGTTCTCTTGCCTCTATCAGTGGTGCCCCTGCTGCGCTCTTTCGCTGGTGCGGATTGCCCCGCATCGCCGCCGACGAGAACGAGTTTCTCGTACTCCTCCCTCCACGGTGGGGGGCTGCCTCGCAGGCGAACCGCTGCCCCGAAGTGGATGAGGGGGGGAGGAGGGGGGGGAGCGGGCAGAGGCGAGGTACCGAGGCAGCATCAGACAGCATCGGCTCTCCTCCTCCTCCTCCTCCTCCTCCTCCCCCTATCCTCCTCCTCCTCCTCCTCCTCCTCCTCCTCCTCCTCCTCCTCCTCCTCCTCCTCCTCCTCCTCCTCCTCCTCCCTCCCCCCCGTCCAGTGCCCTCCCTCTCTCATCCCGTCCCCCCTTCTCCGAGCGCGCGGGTTCTGTGACTCGAGGCAGACTCGGTCCCTGGCACTCCCTGCTGCTGCCAGAACGAGTGTCCAAAGCTCAAGGGGGATCTCAGCAGAGCGCGGAGTGGCAGGGGGGCCCCCAGGGCAGGTCCCATTTCGACAAGATCGAGCAGATCCGATATCGGTTTCGGCCAGCTTGATCGTTTCGATTCCACCGTTCCGAGGCGGCTCGATGCTTGCATGGCCCTGCTGCTGATCCTGGCGCGGCCGGTCCGTTTCGGTTTCGACTCCGTGCCGATGCGGCCCGATCCGACGCGCGATCCGATCCGATCCGGCTTCCCGATTCGGTGTTGACCGATCCCTACAGGGCGCAGCCACCTGGGCCGCTGTCTCCCCCCCGAGCCGCAGAGCTCCTGGCGATCCCCTGCGCTCCTCGATGCTGCGGGCGGCGGTGCCTCCGAGACGGCGCTGCCCTGCTCCCCGCCCCTCGCGCAGCCTCTTGAAGTGGCAGGAGCACGAGGGCAACTCCGCCACGAAGCGACCCCGTCTCCGGCCTGCGGGGGCTGAGCTCGCTCGCGCGATCCCGAAGGATCTGGTCCCGACCCGACTCCGCGCCGATTCGGGCGCGGGCCGTTCCAGTTCCGATTCGACCCGATTGAAGAGGCCTTACGGCCGGTGCCGCCGACCCTGAGCGACGACGACGACGATGATGACGACGACGTCGGCGGCGTCAGCGGCGGTGGCGACGACGATGTCGACAACGACCGCGACGGCGGCGGCTGCGGCGGCGGCGGCGAAAACGACGACGACGACGAAGACGGCAGTGGCGGCGGCGGTGGCGGTGGCGACGACGACGACGACGACGACGACGACGACGGCGGCGTCGACGGCGGCGGCGACGGCGGCGACGACGACGGCGACCACGACGACGACGACGACGACGACGACGACGGCGGCGTCGGCGACGGCGGCGGCGACGACGACGACGACGACGACGACGACGACGACGACGACGACGACGACGACGACGACGACGACGACGACGACGACGACGACGACGACGACGACGGCGGTGGTGGTGGCGGCGGCGGCGGCGTCGGCGACGACGACGACGACGACCACGATGACTG